CAAATTAAGAAAATTTGTGGCAAACGATTAGATAAAGCTATATATATAATATTTTGTAGCTAAAAGTTATTAGGATTTTGCTACACCAACATAAAATTTGTAGCAAGATCTATTACGGGTTTGGCTATAATATATATTTTTTGTGGCTAAATTGTTATATTCTAGCCACGTAAGTGAAAACATGTGTAGCTAACTTTTAGCTGCGCCACCTCTAGCTACGCAAGCTACGAATTGAAAATTTTGTAGCTAAATAATTTAGCACTAAATTTTTTATGATTTAGCCACGAAAAACAGCATCTAAACCATACCTATAAGCACGTTCCGCTTCAGAACCCCCTCAATTCCAATTTCCCTGGCTTATGCGCAGAGAACGGAGGGGCCTTAAAGTCAAAACACAAATTCAAATAAAATGGGCCATAAAAGGAAGGGTCGATGGAGTCGCTAACTTCTTTAATTTTTTTTATCTTACATGGATTCCACATGAAAGTAGAAATAGGCTTTAGCCTTTAAGTTTGCCTGTTCAAGGAAGGATGCGGAACAGTCTATACATTTTGTTACAAATATTATAATTACAAGACTACATGTAGGAATTGCAATTGTCATGTCGAGGTGGATATCTCGATATCCATACCGTCCCGTGGCAGGTCGGGTTCAGATCGAATAATTTATCATGAGCGAGAGTTGGTGTAAGTGGACCCAAATGGATATGTAATTTAAAAGTAAACCTTTGAAAATATTCATTTTTTCATTACAAAAATCAAGAAACAAACTATAACATTATTAATATAGTTAAATTATTCGTTTTATCTTAACCTACCAATTTTACCTATTGGCCCCGTCGAGAAAGTGGGTTGAGGGTTAATTGTCCGACCTTTTTAGTTCGGTTTAGCTCGAATATATGAACATACATTATATTGTTATAAATTTATAAATAATATTAAATCTCATATAACATATACAAAAATATACATGTAACATATGAACATACATGTAACATTATACAAAAATAACATTTTGTACTTGCATCCAACATATAGTGAAAATTCACTAACACATATATAACATCAATATTAAAATGTTCAACTTAGAATCTCAAAGATTGGGTTAGGAGAAAAGAAAAATCTGAAAATAGGAGCATTTTACAAACCAAAGGAAAAAAAGACATGGTTTGACCTCCAGCTCGGTACCTTGCAGCGGTCGACCCGATGTGTGGTGGCCCATTTTTCTCACCAGGTCAAGATCAAAACGGGTCAACCGGTGGTTCGACCAGCGGGACGATGACCTTGGACTTATCACTGCATCATCAGTCCATCCAGCATTAGCAATTGTCGCCGATTATATGCATATCTATCTCTGTTCGTCCATATTAGGTAAGATAATTTATTATGTGATACAAATCTAAAACTTTATTCAAGAATATGATAAGTGTATTTAAATGATCCAAGGTATTGAGATTCACGCCTATTTAAAACTTTATTATTGCTAAAATATGAGGCCATAAAAGTTAAATCCTAATTAGTTTAAGTAAAATTACATATCATTCAGATCGAGGATAGTACCATGGATATTATTCACTCCAAAACATGTAAAATAGATCGGATAAAATGTGTTAGGTCAAAGTTGTAATCCCTAACCGACATCATTGTAAAAATACTCAGCCTCGCAATTCCGCTCTTAATTATGAATGTGTTTTCAATATTTAGTTCCTAGAATTGAAGCCATCTAATTCTAATAAGTTTCGATCGAGAAAATTGAAAATATTCATTTTTTCATTACAAAAATCAAGAAACAAACTATAACATTTTAATATAGTTAAATTATTCGTAAAAATTGATGTTATCATCTATTTCCAACTTTTTATAGCTAAAATATTAGCTAATAAAAGTAAAATGCTAAGTAATTTGAGTAAAATTATATGTGATTTAAGCAAGAACGGGTCAAAATATAGGGCATGTCAGGTGGAGGACACTACTCATGCCCATCCTCCCTGCTTATAGGACGAGTATTACCACCCCAAAACATGTCAAACAGGTCAAGTAAAATGGGTCAGATAGAAATTGACATCCTAACTACAGATTTTGTGTTTTCCAATATTATATTGTCCTTCCATTGTTGCTTGCTTCCCCACTGTCCTGTTCTTCTTGAACAGGGACTCTAGCTTCTAATTGGTAGGGTAAATCAAAATTCGTTGTGTTAAAAGTGTATATGAAAATATCAAATACGTAGTGCTCATAGGGTTTCATTTTGAAATCAATAGATTTGAGAATAGAGAAATAAGATGTAGTGCTCATAAGGTTCTATTTGGAAATCAATAGATTTGAGAACATAGAAGTGAATTATGGAAGCACAACAGAAAATACTCATAGAATTTGTTTAATTATAAATGTTGGTTTTGCAAACAGAAATTATTAGGTTTTCACGTTGTTAGAAGCCTGCTATTGTCAACTATTTTGCTGATATTATTTGTTCTAAATATTTTTTGCCAACTACTTTTGTATAGTTATGCCTCGAAGAAATAATGATTCAATTTATTCGTTTTATTCGTTAAAATTGTTCTAAATATAGTTATCCAAACAACCAAATAATGATTCAATTTATTCGTTAAAATTGAATGTAAATGATTCAATTTGTTCTAAATATAGTTATCCAAACAACCAAATAATGATTCAATTTATTCGTTAAAATTGAATGTAAGTACAGATATTTTTATTAGCATAATTATATACATCTTACAATTAATGTGCGTCTATGCGATGCATTATTCATGGAAAAAGAGAGTTATTTTTATACCACCAGAAGGTGTGATGGGTTCTAATCAGTCTCTATCTGAAGTGTAGAATAAATTTTCTATAGTATGAATATTGATGAATCATCAATTGATATATTATAATCTCTTAACTATATAAGGCAAAAGTGTATATATGGAAAAATTGTCAACATTCATACTGGTAATCCATTATTTCATGTTTGTTGTTGATTTATATGTTATAAAATTATGTGTTAGATGCTAGGATTGGTTATTTTAATGCTTATATATATAGGACTTCAAAATGAGATGAATAACTTACAAACAAAGATAAATGGATTGCTGAGGTCCATCAAACTTGCTGAAAATCGTTATAGTCGTCTTCGGGTGATGCGATCTAGAGACTTTCGAGGTTTGTGAATATTTTGATTATTTCATTTTCCTTTATTTATTATAATTTTGAAAGTTGTATCATATGTACTTTTTATATTGGAGTTAATTTTATTACCGTTGTTGAAATGTTTGATATTGGAACCTCATCATATAAATGTGAATATTGTGGATTGATGGTGTGGAAGGGAGAAAGTACAAAACCCACAAGGAATTTCATTGTGTTGCAAACAAGGCAAAGTGAACCTCCCTCCTCAAAGGCAACCTCCTAAGGTTTTGAATATGCTATTGCAAGCGAACACTTGAAAGGGATGACACTTTTGGGAACACATACGAGGCTATAATTGGATCTTCGCTTTAACTTCTATTGGAGGTAAACTGGATCGATCTATAAATAATAATCGATAATACCCGGCCCGTTATACCCGCCCCGCTAGCCAAAGGGTCAATTTCCCTTGAGAAATTTAGTTTAGGTTGAGCAATTGAGTTTAGCTACCATTATTGATGATGAAGATGTAGACGATTATAATCACGCTTTGAATGTGTTGGTTAGAACACCACAAATCCCAACATAATTAAGATTTTCAAAGATAATCAATGATCTCCAGCAACAATTGTGACTAGAATGAGGTGAATTCTTTGTTGTAAAATTATTTTTTATATATGGTTAAGTTTAGGGTTAATATTTTCGTATGGCCTGAACTTTGACCAAAATAAAAATCCTGACCAATCTTTTCGATCTATAACATCCTAGCCCAAACTATACACCAAAATAAACAATTTGGCCAGATCCGACTTTTGACCATTAACTTGGACGGTCAAACGCGTTGACCGTTAGTCAACGCGCCAAATCCCAAGAGTCAAGGAGTTGGCACAAATCCATCGTTTGCTAAGGGACACAAATCCGTGGGGCTCACGGATTTGCAAATCTCACATTTCATTTAGGATTTGATAATGGAAGGCAAAATTATGAGACAAATCAATCATAAACCTATGGTAAAAATTAACTTAACAAACAATGTTATCAGTCATTTTTGAATACCTATAATACTGTGTCATTAAGTTTATTATGAGTTGATATTCCTTCCATGAGTCCTATAATTTTAACTCCAACCAGAATTTGCATATATAGAAGACAATGATTACAAAGTAATAATATGTATGATGAATGCTCATTTTCTATTTTCTCAACAATTGAATAATTTGACTTTCTTAATGGACAACTATATTGGTATTTTTAAAAATTGATAGAATTACTTTTTAATTCGCATGACATTAACATATAATCATGACGTGAATATAAAAGAAGAGAATATCACTAGAATTTAAACTTGAAACATTTGTTATTTACGATTATCAATCATATTGCAACCGGCCAACGGGCCGGGGTACTATCTAGTAGCTATATGTGTGTTTTCTTGTAGTGATTTTCGTATTAAAAAACCTTTGGTAAATTACGTGTAGTTTATACAAAATTTCCAAAATACCTATACATATTATACGTGACTTCAAAAATTCTCGGGGCCAGGCTGTAGCTCCGACCCTGCTATGATGCACTTCTTTTCCAATTTTCACTACGAGGGTCTGGTAAAGGTTAGGGCTTCGTTTTACAAAAGGTTTTAGAGAAAGACATTGCTTTACAGTTTAGATGAATCTTTGCTTGGTGGCTGAATCTTTAATGTAATTCAAATCCCACACGTTTCTAGATAAATGGTCTATTTGCATGCAGCATGGCTGTGAAACCAGTGAACTTGCTACATATAGCACAGATGAAAGTAGGAAACAGAGAAAACTGTATTCTTCTACGAGATGAGATAAATATAAAAAAGAAGAATCAAACGACGAGAGCAGGTCGAAAAGAAATTCAGTCTCCATAAATGCGGATCATCTCGCTGCAAGAGCTCCAATGTGGGTGCGAGGAAGTTATTGCCGGATTACCAAATGGATTGGCTTTCACAAAGGAAGGCACATCTTCAGCTTTAGAGAGGTTATCCAAATACTTTCTCAGCTTCCCGTCAGGGCCTAATTAATATAAAACAAAGACCCGCTCAGCATCTGCAAACTTACTGAGAAAAATATACATTTTGATTGATTCGTAATTACGATCAGATGACCAACCTAGCTTATCGTCAGATACATTCTTGACCGAGTACTCGTCAAGGAAAATCGATGTGTCAGGCTACATGTATGTAACTATTATTAGTAACATGGCTTATGATGTTAAATTTTGAAGTTCAAAACACGGATAACCTACGAGACTAGGAGTAGAGCAAAAGTTTACCGGATTAAGAAATGACTTGTAAGGGTCAGTCTCTATCAGCAGAGCTTCTGAAGGCTTATAGTCGATGCCATCGATGCGGAGAAAAACTAGCAAAGTGCTCAGATCCTTTAAAAAGAGGGTCTTATTTTTGTTCTCCAAAAAACTCTGGTACATCGGTCCGGTACATTTTCTCTGATCCTGAGGACAACATCACATCTCAGTCAGATCATCATCTCACATCCGTTAAGCAACATATTCAACACTGTAATCGAAAACTAAACATGATTTTTCGGAGGTGACAAATACCCAAGTGAAAAGGAGCTTATTTTCTAGCCCTCCGATCACGCACTCAAGAGTCTCTTCTGTGTTCCACCTGGACGAAAAATGAAGACAACCCATGATCAAACAGCTGCTCTGCTTTAGTGCGGAGAGAAGGGCAAGGAGAAAATGTATTTGAAGTTAAGTTAATAGAGACCCGCTTGCGGAAGACCAGATTCCGACTTCGAATCGCTCCAAGCAGAATTTGACAAAGTCCTCACAGTAGGGCCTCTTGTAAACTGCACACCCAGAAATATGTAAAGAAACAAGAAAATATGGATTTGATGCGCGCGCGATTCAATATAATATATATTAGAGGAGGAAGTTCCCTTTCATTTCTTACCATAAAATTTTTCGAAATCGCCATCAGGCTGGCGATTCCGAGGAATCCTAACTTTGGTTTTGCTCTTCTTGTACACCCTCGCGCAGAGGAACCCACCAAGTGGGAGGACCAGCAGTTTCTGCTTTGGTCCTTGGTCTTCATCTGCGGAGTCGTCGCTATAGTAGCTTTCGTCATCGTCGCTACTATAGAGGACGCGGGGTTTCCGCTGGATCAAGCCGCTTTCCTTGTCCATGACTTCTAGTGACGATGTCAGAATCAGAAGGGATTTGGAGGCTTATGTCAGTCCAGTCTCTCTTATATGCTTGAGTTGGGATAATCATAGCGGGGTTTATATAGAGTTACTACATGCATTTGCAACGTTGGACTGCCATCAATCTTTTCGGCGACGGGGGGATTAATGAAAGATCTCGTTTTACGATAGGGTGACGCTTTGACTGACTAATTAGAGTGCATGGAGATTGTAAATGATCTTAATGAAATCTTCTCCTTTTTGTAGGCGAGGACTCTTGGAAATCTCCCATCCTTCTTCAATGACTGTTGAATGCAATATTTTACTTCTTAACATACTAGTTTAGACCCAGGAACTATATTTTATTTTTTGTATACCGTAACTTACGAATATATGTGAGACATCTAAATGATCAATTTGTTGATAATTATAACAGTATTTTAGTCAGCGTGATGAAAATGTCCGAACAATTTATTCAGTTGAAGTAAAAGTTGAAACGTCCGCATCCTTAACTTATAAGTACATTCTGAAGAGAACTATTACGTATAGGTCAAAATCGCGACATTGTTCATATTAAACAATTTTGATATGATCCTAATTAACCCTTTGATTAAAGTTGGATTGCTTGCCAAAGGATCTATCAATGTTGGAAGGAAATATGGAAGTATTTGGCTAAGTGTTCAACCTGTTTCGTGGTGACTGTTTTGGAACTTCGTATCTGACATTAAGAGTGTTCCTGTTAAGGATTTTGATTTGTGTTGAGTTTGTTTCATAGTTAGTTTATGTTTCCTTGTTATAATTGAGGGAGTTAGATGAGTAATTGTAATCTATTCAAGGGCTTAAGAGCCTCGTGTAATAATTAGTTTTTGATTGAATACAAAAGTTACCTTGTCACGCAAACCCTATCGTGTGTTGGTTGTGTTCCAGCAACGAGAATTGCTTCGTATCGATTGAAATCGCATCAATCACGGTCAAGCTTCGATCATAATCCAATCGAGCCTCTTCCCTTGTGAAAAGTTGCACTTTTGGTTCTGTTTTAATTTTCAATTTCACAAATTCATTCAAATTCTTTTTTATTGATCTCAATTGCGTAACTCTGATCATCTTAAGCAAGGAGCTTGCTTGCATCTAATTGTAACATATTGTCTACACTTGAAATCTAAAATATTTGTACCCATAAAAAAATTTATTATGCATATTAGCATCACCGAAAATTTGGGTTCAATATGACTTCAAAAGTATATTATGCATAAAAAATGTGATCAATATATTTGAATCACTTGTATAACAACATATTAGTATCACCGAAAAATTGGGTTCAATATGACTTAAGAAGATAAAAGGAAGCTGGGATGTAGAGATGACAGAAGCTTTGGCGGCCGAGTTTAGACTCCGATTAGCGAGACAATTTCAGTATGAGAATCTTATTCTTGAGGTGGACTTCCTTAGTTTGATCCACAAGCTGTACGAGGGTGATGCAGTGCAAACGGAGGTTGGGATTATATGCCGAAGTATTAGGCGTTTGCTGGTAAGCCCGGAAACGGGAGTTTGGCGACATGCGAGGCGGGAGCAGAATGCAGTAGCTCATGTGATGGCGCATAGCGATACGAACTGGGACTCCGCTGTGGTTTGGGTAGATCGACCCCCGAGTTTCTTGATGGACCAGCTCCGGCTGGATAATGTAATCAGCCCTTCTCATTAATATTACTTGAGCAGGTTCCCGTAAAAAAAAAAAATGGGTTCAATATGACATAAGAAACCTTCTTCAATTTTATCCTTAAAAGCCTCGTTAAATAGATCCACAGATATTCATATAAAAAAGTCTATATGATGCTAAAAGATTTACAGGTGAGCCGGAGCAGATCCGGTGAGTAACCTTGTGGTGCTATAACCCCATGCATAACTCAATAAAAATCCGTCATATTAGCGTCTTCTTCTCTCTCCTCGAAAACCTTTAATTTTTTTCCCTTAATTTTTAACGGACGATTTCTCACTCGTTTTAACTCGGAATTTAATTTTTTGCACAGTTAGATCATATTAATTGTGCTCTTCAAAATGATATCCACTTTGATATTTTTTGGAACAAAAAAAATTCTAGTTATTACCAGTATATACCATACGATATTGATTGTACCATATGATATTGACTGTACCATATGCTATTGACTGGTATTAAATAACAGCATACCATATGGTATGAAAAATATCACTCTGGTAGTATGGTATAGAGTTGGTAATAAGAGTTACGAAATTTTTTCACCCAGAAAAATTTGAAATCCAATAGATCGTGATTAAATCGTTCCTTCTGTGCAAAAATTTCCGAAAACGACTAAAAATCGAATGAGATATCATTTTGTAGAGCACAACAAACTCGTTCCACCTAGGTAGAGTCGTAGAGTATGGTAGGGTTAAGTTAGGGGTTGTTTGTTTGTTTCAATTTAGAAATATAAGTTAGGGGTATATGTGTAATTGAATATTTAATTTAGGGCGACCGATAGCAATTTTAAGGGCAACGTTTAGCGATTGAGATATATCACTTGTTTGTTGGTTGCTCGTGTGTGCACTTTATTACCCGTACAGTGTTTCACGAACAAGCCCGCCAGAGCGGGAGATTGGATTGCCTATAAGCAAGTGGAGTGGAAATTCATATGGTGCAATTAGGGGTGGTAAACGGTCGGTATCGATATAACCGGTTGACCCGGTATCGGTATACCGGACGGCTGGAAATGGTCACCGATTTCCGAAACCGAAAGTGTTTCGATATACCGGTTACCGATCTCGGGTATTTGATGGTAAATCGTTTATCGCAAAGAGAGGAAACCAACGACACCACCGAGGCACTAACAAGTGAGATACAACGGCGCCGCATCGAGTAAGGCGGTCGAGACGAGGTCTGACAACGATGGGCCTAGCGCGTTGGTCCATGGAGAGGACGCGACACTTTGTTCGACGAAGAGGAAGCGGTGCTAGGCTGCAATTGTCGGGTGCTCGTGGTCGTGGGTCTGTCGTGCGCCGGCGATGAGAGAACAGAGGACTGAGCTTGCTCGAAATTCGGAATTCCAATCGCTCGCAGTCAAAGAAAGAGAAGTGGCGATGGCAAGCGGTGCCTAGTCACTGAATTAATAGGCCAAGATGACATGCAGGGGGAGCTCCGTTGTTGTGGATTGGTAGCCAGATCTGAACAGCGGTGGCGTCGTTTGACATGATCTGTCCGGATCTAGGTGGAGATTTTTGGGGTGGCGCGGGCAAGCTACGACGGAGTCAAAGTATAGATCCCGAGGAGAGATGACTCGGGTGAGGGATTCATGGGATGGATGGTGTCTGGGAAGAAGTTCGGATGGCAGCTGGATCTACGGCGGGGCTGAAGTGTGTTAGATTTGGCGGCGGCGGCTGGAGTGTGTTGGATTTGCCGGCGGCGGAGGCGGTGACAGGCGAAGAGGAGTGAGGGTGGAGGCGATGACAGACGAGGAGGAGGACTGGAAGTGGATCCTAAGCTTTGTCGTTCATTGATAACAAGAGAGAAGAGGGGGAAATCGGAATTAGGGGGTGAGAATACAGGGCAATGGCGAGACAAAGGAGAAAAGAGGAAGTTCCTTATGCTATCAGTCGGTATCACCGGTATACCGGGTAACTGCCGGTTATTAACCTAACCGGGAAGTACCCGGTATACTGACAGCTAATTTTTCACTACCGTATACCAATCCCGTCGGTTAACGGTTCGGTAACCGGTTATACCGTTAACTGGCAAACCGTTTACCACCCCTAGGTGCAATTATGGGTAGAATTGTATGGAGTGTGGTGATCAATCTAATATGGCGTGAGCGGTGTTCGAGGCTATATGGCAGTGTTGCAACAAAGAGTCATCTTCTGTTAGTACCAAGATTTAAGAAAACGCTAGACGTAAGGTAGGCGTTGAGGCCTTGCCTTGCACCTAGTTCGCTAAGGCGTAGCCAAAGCAATGCTTAGGCTTTGGAAGAAAATACATATTCGCAATGCATGATAAATAAAATAATAATTCACAACGCTTCCTCACTTTAGCTAAAATAATTAATAACTTAATTGACACTTAACGATCAAAATATAACCCACAAATACATAGAATCGTAGCTCAATAGCTCACAAAGTTCTTGAGCAATTGAAAAAATTGACATAGAAAATTGATTTCTTAGTTGATGTTAACTTTCTTATTTAATATGGACTATCTAGCTCCATCTAATTATGTATAGAAGACAGTTAGGTGTCACCTTACTCCTGACAGTTATATCAATTTATTTGTTTTACTTTACTTTGAAAATGAATTGGAAATGGTAGAATAAGATATGATATCATCATCAGCTGCTTCCGCCATGAGCATGTATGATCTCTTCGTAATAAGCCCAGTTGGGATGGGCTGCGGTTCTGGCAGGAGGCCCGTATGGATGGGCCTTCACATAGGAGCCCACATCTCCATCACAAGATAGCCCATCCAAGAATTACCACAGATCCCCTTCTAGAGCTATAAAGAAATAACCACCCAATCAAAATATAAGTGGCATAATAGATCAAGTGAACAAAACAGAGAATGCAAGTTTTCAACCTCGAATGGTGGTATTTATTACCTAGTACGTTATCATCGTCATTCTCAAAATTGTACTCAGGAGCAAACACAGCTGTATTTGGCTGCATCACACAATGAAATGGATTATTAGCAACCAAGTAGTTTGTTTAGAACAAAGATCAAAACTGTAGTAAAAATAAGAGGGTGGTTGTATGAACTTACAAGAATATGGGTGTATCTTTCTTTTGCATTGACTTGAATCTCGAGTTGATAGCATGTTCTTGATTCTGCCCGATCATAATATTTTTTTTATCTAATAAGGCTACTGAAGAGATTATTAATAAAAATATGAATTAAGAATATATTAATATAATTACCCAAACGAACACAAGACCGCTCCTCTTTAGCCCGGTTTCAATACCAACACTTGACTTAGTTGAATCAAATTTCTCTGATAAAATCAATT